AAGGAAGACATGTTAGAAGTATATAAGAAATAGAAGAATCCATAAGAATCCTCTTTGTATCCTTGTTTTGCTCTGGACCATGGAAGCCTGTGTGTGTTTGTAGTAACTGTCTTTTTTTGTAATTGGAAAACATAAAAAAAATATTTTCTAACTTTTATTTTCAGGATCTATAGTAAGTGGAACTATACAAGAATTTAACATAAGTGATTAACGTTATTGTATAAGCACTTATGTTTGTGCCTTGCTAGGATGATACAAAATAGGCAAACACACAAAGTGTTTTCTGCTGGCAAATGATCACAATGGATGGTTATCAGTCCAGTCCACAGTACACGGAATTACTAAAAAAATTTCTGAAGAGGATCACAGGAGGATTTGGTCTTTTAGATAAATTAATTAAGCATCACCAATGGTTCAATGTATGCATTTGATGGTGTTTATTTCCTTATTTAAGTAAAATGATTATTGTTCTTCAGTTATACCATTGCTTTAATCATCCAATGTCTTGCTTAAAAAACACAATCAGCAAAGAAAGTATTCATCATTATTCACCCTGAAATAAGACTGAAAAAACAGTTACTTGGCAATGATATCCCAACAAACCTCATGCCAATGTCTCAATTGGTACCAATATCTCAGCCAACTTACACAGCCTTGCCAGGTTGGGATCAAAATAATAATTTGTAGCAATTCAAGCATACAAACAGATGACTCAGAACTTTTATAACAAAAAACAGAGAATGCTGAGTTACCTTCAACAACAACAAAGCTATTGTCCCGCCCCTGCCAGTCACACGGGGTTCAGCAAATATTTTTCGTTCTGACATTTCAAGTTGCTGGTTTGAACAATGAAAACTAAATATGAATTAAATGATTTATGGGGTGAATCATCATGCACTACCAGGTTTTGTGGTGCAAAGGTTTCTCAATTTTTGATGAGTGCCTAGTAGTTTTAGCATAAAAAAGAACGTTAAAATGTGCATTTAATTTGAAGAGATCACCATTCTTTGCAAGGGCATTTGAAGCAGGCATTCAATACATTTCCTACCTTAGCATTCCATAAATTCAATGCCACGCAGATGTGTTGGACAATGCACTGTTGACTATTTTAATTGCACAATGTAAGGAAGGTGGTTTTAGATCCTAATGAACTAGTAAGAATCACACTTCACAGAATAGATATCATAGTCTCCAGTTACCCACTCTTGTTTCTCTTGGGGAAAGACTATTGATCTCACATTCAAGATCTCCAGGCCAGAAGATGTAAATCATGCGACGTCACGTGATGTTGCGCAACGTATCAATGCTGGCATTGGGGTGGGCGCGGTTTCAGCGTGACGCATCCGGCCCATAGGCTGGCAGTTTGACATACCTGATGTAGACTTACTGTTCCTTAACAGATAGATCTGACTAAATCTGTGACTATAAAATCAGACAATGCTCCTTTCACAGTTAAGACAGCTTTTGAAGAGAATGTAAATCACATTGTGTGTCATGGCTACCTACATGAAGTCTTCAACTGACTTTAATGCATTACTAGACCTACACATTTCTATAGCCCTGTTAGGTAAAAGCTTCAGTGACTCAGAGGCATTCAAGATTCCAATTCCTGTTTTTCTGTTCATCAGATAATCTGCTGTTCTGTTCATCAGATTTTGTTTTTCTATGTCTGATTTATTTGCACTTGTCCCCTATTCAAGTCTGACTGGCCTATTCCAACAAATTCCGATATGCTAAATCTGACAACTCTAGCATTCTCTGTAAGCCTCATATAACGACAGAATATTCAACGATCAGGTTAACTAGGAAAATCAGAAGCAGACAATACTTAACCCTCCTACCTATTCCTGTAATGAATGTTCTTAAAAATTACGCAATTTTGGAGTTTGGACTGGTGAGGTTTAATATTGCTATGTTTTTCAAAAAGCTTGAGTTTAACATAGGGGTAGCTAACCCCCCCCATTTTAACTTACCCTGCATTCTGAAAGTCTTTTTATTTAAAAATTATTTTTATACTAGTATTTATGCAAACCCTTCAAAAATGCAAGCTGACAAAAATCAAGCAATTTGTATATAGAAAATAAATAACAAGCGGCCATTTTAAAAGTCTTCCTATACACTATTTAGGAAGGGGAAACACCTTCCTTTTGTCCCAATAAAAGAATCACATCTGCAAAAGGCTCTTCACTTTATCTTGAGAGTACAGTTCTGTGGTATTTAATTACCCTGTCAAGAGCACTAAATGATTTGGCACCAAGCCCTTTCACTCAATCTCTGCTGATTGATAGCATCAATAAAATTCACTCACTTTAATTAAACTTCCAAATAGGATCTCATTTTGCCACTTGCTAGGATCAATGTTCTATGATATGGAAAGAACAAAACACAAAAGATCTGAAGGTGCTTCTTCCTCACCTTCACACTTCATTTCCTTCAGATATTCTAAAGGGGTTTTTTATACAATACATACATATTTTACAGTTCTCTTGACACATTCGCTAATAAAAAAAATGCCATTAAAAGCTCTCATCTACCTAAGATTACGTGACACATATGAACACACACATGCATATATGCAAATATATACATATTAAGAGTATACTATTATTTTCTTGCAAAGCTGTCTTATTGTTCCTAGTCATAGTTCTATATTGAGCATTTTACTCACTGAAGAAGGGATGTGTACATTTAAAAATTTATAATAAACACAGAAGTCTATTCAACAGGATATGAAATGGGTATATTTATTCTGAAAGAACTGTTGTTGCAAGTGCTAGTAAAATAGACTGTATCATGTTGAAATTCATTAAGTCACAATATGCTTTTTAGGGTTTTTAGGCATGTATTGTGTTTGTCAATATATTTAACTGTCCTTAAAATAAAATCCACATTTTAAAGAATTAACTTCCAAAGAGGCAAATAACTGTTTAACTCTGATCATTGTGTACCTTTTTCCACAGAGAAAATAGTTGCAATGAAAACCCAACAAGAGAGAGTGGGATGAACTTTTCAAATTCCTCTTACTCACTCCTTCACAATAATGCATTTATAACTTTTAAATACCAGGAGATGGGAAGAAAACCTACTTAATTAATCTGATGAAAAATAACTATATTATTCTGACAGGTAATAATGTTACATAAACATTAATGGTGGTCATTTTTAAAATATTACATAAATAAAACTTGAAACAGAATTACCTGATCAGCCTTACCCCTATAGGAAATTAACATGCTTTATAGATTAAGGCAGGAATGTATAATTTATGGCCCTTAGACTAATTTTAAAAGTTGACTGCAAGAAATCAGTTCAAGATTTTGGCCAGAGCCATTTCTTTTTTTCTCTGGAACTTGGGAGATAGAGATGGAGGGAGCAAAAGCAAGAAAAAACTGTATCTGAAAAGAGAACATGTGTGTATATATATATGTGTGTGTTCAGAAAATTTTGGGGGCTGACAAAGAGTTAGTGGGAGACTAGTATAGCTATTTCAAGCTCTGAAATAGCTATACTAGTCTCCCACTAACTCTTTGTCAGCCACAAAAATTTTGAATTTACAGTGTTCACAATATGTGACATCTGCCTGCAAAACATGCTAGATTGGAGCGAAACGCAGAACAGACTGATTTATCCTATACTTGGTAGACCGGGTGCTCCAGCCAACACACATACACGTGTGTGTGTGTGTATCTATATCTATATGTACCCATTCCTTACATAAGTTCGACCCACCGCATGTACCCCTACAACCTGGCCCTGAGAAAATGCAGCACAGGTAGCCTTCAACTTACAACAGTTCATTTAGTGACCATTCAAAGTTACAACATCACTGAAAAAAGTTACTTATGATGGTTTTTCACACTTATGACCATTGCAGCATTCCCATGGTCATGTGATCAAAATTCAGACACTGACTCATGATGGTTGCAGTGTCCCAAGGCCCCCCTTTGCAACCTTCTGACAAGCAAAAAGCAACGGGAAGCCAGATTCACTTAACAACCGTGTTACTAACTTAACTGCAGTGAGCCACTTAAAAACTGTCGTAAAATAGGGCAAAATTCATTTAACAAGTGTTTCGCTTAGCAAGAGAAATGTTGGGCTCAATTGTTGTCGTAAGTCGAGGATTACTTGTAATTCCGGGGGTGGGGGGGAAGAGAAATGCCTTTTGATTATGGAATTTCACTGGTTGAGAAACATGTGTAAAATGTTATTTCAACAATTCTACATTACATGCTTTCTCTGTGACTTGATGGTGACTTGGCCCTCATGTTAGATTCCAATCTCCATTAGCCCCAGATAGGAAAGGTGATGAGTCAAAATATTGGCTTGCAAAAAGCAAGGACTCCAAACTCCAGATTTAAGGGAGGATATAGCCAGCTGTGATTTCAGATACCAATGAGAGGATGATCTAACTTTCCCCATACCTTTTTTCATTTAAAATCCACAGTATATCTCAAATGACAAGAAAATCAATGTATTGTTTTAGGAAAGAGGAGAACGATTGTGGCTCATAGGCTAGAAGTTTCCCCCAACCACCCCATTTGTCACCTCCAAACCTCTCTCACTGCAACAAGCAAATTTCAATGACTGCTCCAAAGACATAATCAGCCATGCCTCCTGCAGCCCTCAGGCAAGGCAAAAAAACTAATTTATTTGGAACTCTTCTGTCTATGAAAATCATGAGACAATGCACAAGGGAATTCAAAGAAGGAAAATTCAGCTGCTGGGAACATTTATCAGGAAAGTCTTAAATATAGTGCTTTATATTTTATATTATTATCGATATTAATACAGTATCGCATAACTGGATAGATACTGCAATTTTCTTTTGATATGATTACAAATAGATGCAAACTACCTGTGTAAGCTCCAGCGAACAAAGGCAATACCTTGTGAACAAATTATAATTAGTTCCCAAAATATATAGTTTCTGGAAATACATAGGACAGGTTACTCAAGCTATTTTATTCTAGCATTAATTTTACTCTCAAAGATTTACATACTTTTATAGTTTTGGTTTGAAGTCTCAATCCATTCAGAGTATTGATTGCCTTTTCAGCATCCTTAGGGTCAATGTAATTCACAAATCCATATCCCAAACTCTGTCCTGGAGATTAAGAAAAGATGAGAAAGGGGAAAAAAAGTTACATGAGTACGTGAAGAACTCACATTTGCACTTGGATTTTGTATTAATAAAAATCATTTAAAGGTACTATATGAGAAAAAAAAACAACTTCACAATTTGATAGCACACTCATTGAAACAGGAAAAATGATAACACATTTAAAAGATGGTAACGATGCTATAATCTTATATTTAACAATTAGTAAACAATTTTATGAACAAGTTAAGACATTGCTTATACTTCTATTCCTTATTCTTCCAATTCATCCCAAATCCACAATTTGCTGAAGCAGTAGCTATCAATAAACTATGAGGAGGACCAATCAAGACAAAAAGAGAACACCAGTTCACCTTCTGCCTATAATATGATTCTGAGGATTAGGAGCCCTTACAGCCATTAAAAAAAACAAATCAGGAATGTAGCTAGCATCTAAATTTTATGAGTAATGAATCACAATCCACCAGAAAAGGCAGATAAAATAATTTAATAGCAAGAGTCAGCAAACCTTTTCAGGCAGTGGGCAATATCACATTGTTTATTTTGTTTGCTGTAGGATCGAAGACCAAAAAATCAGGGTAAAATTAAAAAGCTTCTTGAAAGTAATTTGACAAAGAATAACAATCATAAAGCAATCACACTTCAAAGTCAGCATGTATGGCAAAAATTGCTTCTATATGGAGATCAAATCCATCATCTTCTGCAATTGCTGAAGTTGAACTGCAATCAACTGCAGTGGCGCAAAATCTCACTATTTTCACATGGATCACTTAGCAGGAAAGACATTCCAAAAATTACATAATTTCACATAATTTCATAGGGACAAAGAAACAACTTTAAAAATGATTTAATTTAAAATTTTAAAAATGCCCAGAATTTCATGGGATGGCAGGTGAAATCATGAACATCTTGATGAACTAGCTTCCTCATAAAGTTTTGGTCCTTTAAAAATAATGCAAACATGTAATTTATTGTTGGCTCTAATAAATTCTGCAATTTTGTGAACTTGCAAAGCATCCCATATGCCTTTTCCATCCCCCAAGAGAAAACATTAGTCATATCTGTCTCTCTGAAAAAGGACTGACTGACTGAAAAACTGCAGAAATTACTGAAAAAAGGCTATTTCATTTACGTATCATGAAGTTTGATAAAACATATGGTTTTTATATTTGCATTCTACATTTCCAACAAATGGTGGCAGACAAGAATAATACATTTAAATATAAATCAAAGGCAGAGTAAACTAAAACAAGCTAAGAAAAGATTCATGAAAGAAAAATCAGTCAACAAGCCCAGCTACAAACAAATTGCATTATATTTATGCATCATCTCAGGAAGTAAAGAGCTAGTCTGAGCATCACTGCATTGTATAGCTACTTAGGCCTTTCTTTCTTTTCTTTTTTTTTTTAATGAAGGATTCATCAACTCCTACTCAATGTTTTTAGAAGTTTAGTGAGGAATTTAAAAAAAAAAACCTCTTAAAGCTGTGTAGAACTTAATGGAGAAAATATAGCCAAAATCCACTGCTTGAATAAAATAGTATCTAATAAAGTTGTTGGGTGTTATATCCTTTTTAATAATCCCTGCTAATGGGGTGCAGTTTTCTAAATAACCTATATTCACACATAAGAGAATGCTAATACAGAATATGTTCTTCTTTTCAAAGTCTTTCTCATCTGGAAAGTTTTAGATGTGTGAACTCAACTTTCAATGTTCTCAATAATGGAAAATTATAGACCACCCAGGCACAAGAAAACTGTTAAATAATATTATCAGAAACCTGTAATTTCATTACATTTTGGTTCCATTTTGAACCATCTTCATCCACCTGCTTTTTAAAGGATAATACTTCAAGGATTTAACAAAACAGATTATAGTCAATGAAAGGCTTCCTCATAATAAATAAGCTAATCTTTAAAAGATCAGAGGAACTCTACTTTGGGGCAATGTACTACTATTCTCACTGCTGTGAAAGCTGTTTATAAGCAGACAGAATTAAGACATGTGATTCACATCTATAAATGAAAAAAAAAAATGGTACAATGGTAAGATGCAAGAATGATGTATAGAAAGCAGAAGCAAAAGATATACTCTAAAAAATAGCCAGCACATGCATTGTATAATAATAAATAATAGCAGAGATATAATATCTAAGAAAATAGTAGGTATTGTAAGCAGAATTCAATTGAGGAAACAACAAAGCAAGAATGCAATTCATAATACTAGAACCAGGAAGACATCAAAGCATCAACACAAGGAAGCTGTTGATACACCAAGATATCAGTGACACTTGAGGTTCTTGAAAGAATAAAATATTGGGCCCTTGGACTCCAGGATTTCATTATTCTCATGATTCAACCCTGGAAAATCAACAAGGGATAGATATTTTAGAAGCGAGTCAATTTTTGTGTGAACTGAACACATGCCATATTACTGAAACAGATCAAAATTAGCACTATGCTGACAGAAAACTGATATATTCTCCTCAGCAGCTTGCTTGCCAAGTTCCTAAAGAATCTATCCAAGTAGAAAAACCTTAAATAACCATTTCAACAGCTTGCTAAAAGCAAAGTAGAAACGGAAATGATTTAATAATTTACTGAACAGGATTTACATCCTGCACGAACTCATAGTGAAGGACCCCCTAATCCAACTTACGTATTCCAGCTAAACTAGTCCTCACCTTACCACTATAATTGAGTCCAACATTTCTGTTGTTAAGTGAGACAATCGTTAAGTGAATTTGCCCTGTTTTACAATTCTTCTTGCCACAGTTGTTAAGTGAATCACAAGTGGTAAGATGGTTGTTAAATGAATCTGGCTTCTCCATTGACTTTTCTTGTCAGAAGGTTGCAAAAAGGTGATCACATGACCCTGGGACACTGCAACTGTCATAAATGTGAGTCAGTTGTCAAGCATCTGAACTCTGATTATGTGACCATGGGGATGCTGCAACAGTTGTGTGAAAAATGGTCATACATTGTACACAGGGAGGCTTATTTCCCCCTACATTCATGCTGAAAAGAAAGATGTAGGACAAGTAGTACAGGTAGGATATACAGAGAGAGGAAGAAATAATTACAAAAGTAATGATAATTAAGTATGCCTCAGAAGAGATCCAAGAGACTGATGGAAAGAACTGATAACAAGCGGAACTAGGGAAATGCAGTGTGACTTTATTACAGGCAGGATGCCTGTATAGCTCTAGACTGCTTTGCTTTTCAGCAGGGAAATAGTTGAACATGTTAAAGAAAGCGTATGATAAAGTAAATAGGCTTGAGTTGTAAAATGCCTTGCATTATATGGAGTTTATGGATGCAAGAACAGCATTTGTGTTTAAGCAAATGGTTTGATTCTGAGCAGGGAATTAGATAAGAACGTAGGATAATTTCCTTGGTTCTTCAATGCATTTTTGATTACAAAGAACGAGGATCATATTGCAAACAAATGTACAAAGGAAGAGTGACTGGGTTGAAAGGAAAGGGGAGATGGAGACCATTGTAAGTGGATGGAAATAATAGATTTTCAAAAATACGCCTGTGAAATGAACAAAAAGCCAATATATGACGCAAGGTATGGATGTGGTAAAAATAATGGTGAGCTCCAAAAACATACAAAGATATCTTCTTGTATCTTTCTGATTTGGTAATCATGTAAGTCTAATAAACAGGCATTAAGAAATATACTAAAAGGTACTGATATAAATTAGATTTAGCTGCACTTTCTACTCTCCCACCTTCTGTCTCATGCTTTTAATTCTGTTTGCTTTCTATTTTTTACACTTTTCCTGTGCTTTGCATGATACTACTTATCCTGAAAGGGAGTGAAATGGCAGCTATGTAAGTAGGTCAAATCAATAGAAAATAAAAAAATACAGAGGTATACAGATTTATAAATCAGAAGAACATTAAAAATAATCCAACGTAGAAAGGAGAATACAAATACTTAATAGATTAATCTAATGTGAGATTAAAGAGTAGAACAGGTAAGACCTAGTATACTTTATTAAAAAGGCATTCACAGTTCTGTTAGCTTTCCTGAATTGGTCCTATTCTTTTTCCTGTAGAAGAAAAAGTCTTCATCAGGGTTCAGTCCAAGCCGGGAATAAACAACATGGTGACTGCTTTAGAAAGAAGGTTGTAGTTTACTGAAGAGGGGAGCCAGACAGAAAGATGGCTCTGGAAGAAAGAGAGCGAGCACATGTAGTGAGTGGGTTTTTATACTCTCTGGGGCTCTTGAGGTTGTTTCCTGTTCCTATTTGAAACTTTGTATTTCCTGTGTCATGTACTTTGATCTGAGTCTGAGTGTGCCCCTTTGGAATCTGTGGGTTAATCCTGTAATGTCCTGTCTTAGAGTTTGGGTGGAGTATGTAGATTTTAGGTGTCTTTGTCTTCCTAAATTTCTAGCTGGAGGGCTCCAAACTTCCTGAATGGATTATCAAATCTGCATTTCTATAGAGCTGGTTTCTGCTTGGGGGAGAGAGTCTTGGGGCTATTAACAAAAACTGGGCATGCTTTTCTGCCTCTTTAAGATCCTTTGAGGAAATATAATATTCTGTCCTTTTAATATTTCCTTCTCTGGGGGCGGCTGACTCCCCACATCCCCAAATAACATTGCCTCAAAACAGAGCAAAACAAGCCCTCAGTTGACCACGATAAAAGATGGACTTGTTCATGAAACACAAAACATAATGGGAAAACCACTTCTCCTGTCTGTCTATATGTCTCTGGAAAACTACTGCAGAGAGGAGCTGGTGCACTGCTTAGTCTGAGCAAATGAGGCGAAGTATAAGGCTATTAAATAAAACAGATTTACGGGAAGTATGGGAACCTGAAGGGAAATGATTTCTTCATCGTGTCAATAGACAAGATGGTCCGGCCCTTCCATAAAATGTTTTATTTAGAACAAAATCATCTTAATTGTAACATAGCTATTAGAAAACCAAGGTGGACCTGTGATGACCCTTTGGAAGTGCAGACAACTTT